GCTAGATATTTAGATATTCAGATGTTCTAGAAATGTGGAAAAGGGAAGGTGGGGGTGGCAGGGGCAGATGAGAGTGAGGCGCTCCCTGATATTCGCCACCCTCAAAGAAAAGAGGAAGATATCTGAATATCTGAACATCTAGATATTATGTAAATTGCAGATGTTCACAAATCAGACCGGTCTCAGATTGATGCATTAGATTATGTTGAGAAGATTATATGCATAGGTTTAGAACAAAACTATCAAAAATTGTTAGTTTTCCAGAGTGCTCGTTTGAAAAACCGACCACCAGAAAAAAGATCATATGACGTTGATCTTCACTATTGCACTCCCCCATTTTTTTTCTTTCGCCACATCCCTGCTCAAATTTATGAGAAAGCAAAATATAGAGGACTAGATGATATTGTTCGTTTGCAGTCCACGGTGTGAATTAATACTTTCTCCAGTTAGAAATAGTTCACGAAATATTGATCAGCATTTGTAAAAAAATGACTTGAGTCTTTTTCTCAAGTCTCATGAGTCTTGCACATCTCGAATCTGAATAAAGATAAAATGCATGAATATGACAAATGCAAGTAACTCTCTTTCCTCACGTCATCTCTTGAAAGCTAAAGAAAAGCGTCGCACTGTGGATAGACAACATTTTTTATGGGCGAGACGATGATCGTCTCTATCAGGACCGTAATCAGAATTTTGGTATGGGGTGGGCGTCTAGAAAAAATTTCACCTTTACTAGTCTGAATTTCCATATAAAAATTTCAGTCTTCGAATATTATTATCAGATAAACACTGTAGTGAAATCCCAAGGGGTAGGCATGTGTCCTGTGTGGCCACCCCCTGGATACGGCCCTAGTCTCTATCATGACTAATTGTTGTGCTCCTGATAGCTAACATAACCTGAGTAACAGTCTCTTTTAAATAGTTCTATGAAAACTGTTTCGTTCATCTTACTTCGCTCACCCTTATCAATAATCCGGAAAAACTCTGAAGATTCTTCTAAACAAACAGATTGACCCTTTCCCACATATCTTTTGCGAAAAATATAAGGTCGAGTGCTTCGAATCTTATGGCATATTTTTTCGAAATTTTTTACGTTAAACAAATTTAACAGAACAACGTTAAAAGATGTTTTGTCAGACGGACAAACGATTGCCATAAAAAGTTCTATTTTTGCATTAAAATCAGCAAATAGAGCAACTTCAGTTCCAAACGATGAAAATTTAAAGATGTGCTGTTCGATAAGAAATACGTGAGGCCTTCCGAAAGATGAATAATTCAACAAAGAAAGTTTGAGAAGTAGAGTAATTTGATGCTGTCTATGTTAAACAAAGGATAATTTATGAAGTTCAAATAACTTGAGTTTATACTTATTGAGATAAATTATTTCACACAACACATTCTAACACACTTTCACCAAATCTCTAACCTAATTTCTGAAATTTAATCCGGATAGTAAGATTTTCTGTTATTGAAATTGATACCAGTAGACTGTTGGAAAAGCTTGCTAAGTTTTCAGATTTTCTTTTCGACGATTTTGAGACTATCCTCCTTATATTGCTGATTGTTCATTTTATTTTTAATGTTATATTTGGATTTGTTTTGATGAATCTATTCAATTTTATTAATGATATGGATTTTCAATTTGAAAATCATGGTTATTTCCCTCTCTATGGAAAACATGAAGTACTTTTAACGGCAGCAACTCTCGACAATAGCATAATGGATATATTACTGAGTGAAACACCAACATTGATATCGTCTTTACTACACCAAGATCGTCCATTCGATTGGCCAACACGTAAGAAACAATATGGAATTATGCAAATTCAAAAGGAAATTTTACCAATTATTTTTCGATTAGTCAAATCATAAGCTTATCTATTATTAAAATTTAGAGAAGGGCACTTGAATTTCTTCGAAAAAAAATAGTTTGGGGGGCATTCTCCGAAGAAAAACATTTCTATAGTTCATAGCCAAAGTTGCAGACTGCTCTGTGAATACGTTATGATAAAACTTTTAGCTCAAAGTGTCGATTTACTCAGAAGTAATACATGTCGCAAAAATGAAAGGGGGCTTTTTCTCATGGTTGGTGGGTAGAACTACGATTAGTTTCAAATGAATCTGGATACTCAAACCTAATAATCAGGAGTTTTTCAGTTTATCTACGTTCCTTTCTGGCACACGCTTTCATAAAGGATCATCTCAGTGAAATGCACGTTTCTCAGTTGAAAAAACGCATTGGATGGCTTCTCATTCTTATTACTAGTTTCCATCTTTGCTATCGATTTGTAATTGAGTAGATAGTAGAGATGATACCTACAAATCCAGTTTATTTTAATGTTTTTTAGTTTAGCTGGTACGAAATATGTATCATACGTTCAATTGTCTACTGTATTAAATGTTATAGAACGCAGTATATATGCCCAATATTGGAATATCAATAACTTACCTGTATCTGAAATGACTATTTATGAATATCGATATTATACACAATTATCATCTCATTTATCGTCATTAGTATCGTATCATAATAATGAAAAGTATTTAGAACAATCTTATCAATTATTAAGTAGTTCAGTATTGGATCATTTAATTCAAATACTTGATCTTGTTCTACATCATCATTCACAACCAAATACAATTGATCTACTACAAGCAATCAGTTCTACTGAAGATAGCGATAAAAAATTCTCGCTAACTGAACAAAATGTATCCAATATTGTTGAGCAAGTAAAGTATGTAAAGCCACAGATATATAAAGAAAATTAATTTTTTAATAAAGGAAAATGTTTTTTTACAGATCGAATGATGTTCGCTTGAATTCAAATTGTATATCAAATTCAACTATCGGCAACCGAGGATTGTATTTTGAACAGCGTGTGAGTAACTTTACCTAGCCTTTAAGACTATCATTATGCTAGTCGAAAACAACAAAAAACCGATCAATTTATTTGTTTGCATCATTTATTAACATTAAATCAATGTTATCTATTCGTTCGGTTATTTTCATCCTCATCCGCAGATGTCATCGATTGTGAGTATGAAAATGACTTAAAAAGATTTTCTACCATGAATAAATTAAATGGCACAGTCTTGAGAGGAAAATTGAATGATCATGCTATATCTTGTATTCGACAATGATTGACATTCTGGCTTCCAACGACGATAATAACAGATCAAGATAGGAATACACGTCTAGCAACGAAAGATGAGAAGTTATTACTCAGTACAATGTTAATTCATCAAGGAAACTGGGATATGGTATATAAGAAGAGTATTCAATTATTTCTGAAATCGTGTGATAAAAGAGACCAGCAACGTTGTCAGATCCATACATTCTATTAGGTTTATACAACCCTGAGATTTTGATGCAACGCTCCTAATCAAACGCATAAAGGCAAAAGGCTCCCATTCCGTGCAGCATCTTCACAGCTGCAAGAGTCACGTGCTTCTCTTAACTGTTTGCCGTCATTCACTTCGACAGTGCTTACTCTCAGGGCCGTAAATAGCAGGGAGGGTGTGTGTATATTCCCCAAAACATAAAAATTTGTCCTTTCCTCCCAGCGGAAATTAAAATTTTTTCTCGTTATTTTTGGTCGCACAGCGAAAATTGTTTTTTTTACACACACCCCAAAAAAATTTTTACACCCCTCCAAAGTTGACTTCCTATTTACGGTCCTGCTTACTCGCCCATACCACTGCAAAGGATTATCAAAGGACAGTGAGAGAAGACGCTACTGATTCTGAACTCTTTCAGTCTGACAAACATGAGTTTACACATAGCTGTAGTTTTCCCATTCCGACCGAGGGACAGCTTTTTGCAATCCTCGAATCCTGGAATCCTTCAATTCTTTCAATAAGTCAAGGCTATAAGAATTCCGGAATTCTCTCCTTTATTCAGTGCGGGTGGGGTGGTACGGGTAGTGAGTGTGAGTAACACAACAACATTTAGCTTTTTAAGCATGAGCTTCTAAGCTAATGGGTCGAAGATCCTGGGATCCCAGAATCCTGTTCTCGGTTGGAGTGCGAAAACTACACTTCTCATCTGGAGTAAGAAAATAAGCTCCTAAATTGCTCTTGTCAACAACCTGTTCCTCGGTCGGAATGGGAAAACTACAGCCCTCGTTTTACATGGACTGATTTACGCCTCGTTGTTTGACAAGGACAACTTTACCAATGCCCTGTTGATTGCTCGACATGAATACCGATGGCTACTTACTCGCATTACTGTTCAACGTATGTGTATAGACAGGATCGTACTTATCGTTCAACTTGGTCACGCGAACACAAAGCGTGTCCGACTCTAAAACGACGGATGACCTGGTGATTGTAGGTATTCATTCGTCAATGATGTTTAGAACGTATGATATGCGAGCAAATCAGTTGCTTGCTAAATTTTTCATATGGTTACGCACTTAGAACATTTTCTTGGTGGATGGTACTATAGCCGACAACCTGAAATATCCTTACTGTCATCAGGTGGATGAGCCAATCAAAAACTGAGCAAATCACGGCATATCTTGACAGATTATTTTGAAAAGATCTGAATTATGCGAAAAGCAAGATAAATGCTGCGCAAATCAGGTTTTGGGTGGAATTTATATCGGTTGATCTTGGAGAGCTTCTTGGTGGCAACCACAACTAAGCGGTTAGAAACAAGAGTGTAGTCGAGAACTGTATTACATTTGATAAACAAATAATTAATAAATAAAATGAATTTTAGTTTCCTAAAAGTTAAGATTGTCAGTGTTCTCTTATCCGTCCAACAAGCCAAATATTTTAATGTCATGTGCATGCATAAGTTTACATTGGAAACAAAAAATTTGTTTCTTATCCATATGATACGATTAATTAGAAATGTTTAAATATTCTCCAACTATATTGAATATCGAGCGTAACTTATCTTTAGTATCTTAGTAACTATGTCAGTACCGAAAATGAAACATAATGTTTTTTTAAATGCTAAACTTGTTAACGGCCGTTATTCTAAATATCATTTCTATCAGCGATACTTCAAACGTGGGAAAAATTGAATCTTCTATTGATAATGATGTCATCGAACATGATTCTGACCATTTATACTCTAAATGGTCTTCATGGTCACTTTGTTCCCAAACCTGTGTACCCGGTTATTCTTATCGTACAAGACACTGTTTAACAAATAATGATCAATGTAAAGAAAATCTTCTCCAGTTAGGATATTGTTTTGTTCAAGATGTTAAATGCACGGAAAATGAATTATCAAATATCAAAAATATGAAACGAACATTGCACTACAGTCAACAAAACATGATTTATCATATTCTTTTGCAATTAATCATTATTCTATGTCTAGCTGTTTCACTTAGCTTAATTGTTTCATCGATTGCATTTTATTATTTATTAAAAGATTTACAAAATACTTGAATTACTCTGTCATTAGCAATACATGAAGTGTGATAGACGAGAAGACGACAAAAAAAATCAAAACAAGAAAAAAAAATTCAACAGTCATTCAATAGAAAGAAGAGAAAGGGCATTTTTTTCTTATTCTTTGAGCGTCATGATCAAAGCTGTTAACGGCAGCGACCAAAATCCCGTGGTGGCTACGGGAGGAACTAGTCATCATTTTGGGGTAATTAATCGTTCAAAAACATCATCGGCAGCTGATAATCATGACATACAATCGTTTTCGTCCAGTCAACAGACACAAAAATCATTGTGGACAAAAAATGGACGAATTCCATCGAAATATACGCCAGCGACGAGTTGGAAAATTGCAAGAGATAAATCAATGGACATTTTATCGAGAAAATCAACAAAATTAAATTTACATGAGCATAAACAAAGTAGGTATCGTACAGATTTTAAAAATTTTTTTAATAATAAATCAGTTAATTTGGAAGAATTTTTCAAAAATATCTGTTTGATAATTTAATTTTACATGTCTGAAGCGATAGTAATTCTTCAACACTTCATATTTATCCAAGGTGTCTAAGTACATCATATCAAGATGTTGAAAAATCACCTTTTTTTTTATTGACTATCTAGTTTTGTTGTTAAACAGCGTCTACCAAAGGTGTCATAGTTATTATTATTATTATTATTATTATTTATTTATTTATTTTTGTAACATTATTCGATTTTTAAATTTTCTTTCTTTATATATGATTTCTTCACGTTCGCTTCATGTTAAGGACACAAATAGTATAGCGATTCCTTTTCTTTGTTTCAAATTCCATTTCCAATTATATAGTTCAACACAAATTTTGAATTCTTCTTTCTTTTCTCTATCGGTACTATTTATTATAAGAAATCGTGACACTCCTTCATTTTTGGTCGTTTGTATTCCTTTCATACAAGGGTCATGAAGACACCTTTTATTTTCATGAAACAGTGCAGATAGAAATAATCGAAAAATTCCAGGGACACATCTTAATCGTATTAAACTATGTACTTTTGACAGTCCATAACTAATGATGTTTTATATATAAGTACAAAACTTTTCCTTCTTTTACCCTTCTCATAGCTGTAAATTCGTTAAAAAGTATATTATTTAACATCTGTAATCAACTTAAGAGATGTATAAAAATGATGCTATTGACACCTTGGCTCACTCAGGTAACAAAAGTGTACACGATGAGAATAACGATTGTCGTTATCTCTCTTCATCCAACAAGAATAAGTTATAAATGATTGGACAAGCAGAGGAGGAGAGAAAAATATTTTTTTAAATCTTAAAAAAATAAGTAAGTAATACGAATATTAAAATATCGATAATCATTAATCGATTCTAATTATTTGTCATTATTCTGTTTAGCACCAATAAATCTTCCACCTATCGGTACTGTTTTCAGACAAACTCGAAATCCTTATAAAACACCTCGTATGCCAACCGATGATGAAGTTACTAAGGTGAACATTTACCTCTTCTTTATCTCATTTTAGCGTGGTATAATTTGAATAAGTATATATAATCTCTGTGTAAAAATGTCTTGATGTTTTTTGTATCAAAATTCGTATCAGGACTAATGCTCAAAAATAGTGTGCCAGAATTAGAATTTTATTCTCTTTCAGAATATGGGTTTGAAATTTTTTTATTACTTTTCTGTCATTCACAAATGGTACAGTAAAAATAGACTCAAAAACATTTATAACGGAAAAAAATTTTTGATATATTTTTTATTTTAATTATTTTAAATATTTTTTGTTTCAATCCAGATTGTAGAACAAACATTTCTCAAACAAAATGCATTAGCTATAAAAAAAATTCAACCCGGAAAATCATTGAACTTTATTTGAGTAGTACTTTTTGAAAAATCAAAATTTTACTTTCTTTGTGATGTCCTTGTTTATGCAAAATAAATTTGAACTTGAACGTCACTTGCTCATTTCATGTTTTTACGTTTAAAATGTTGAAAATAGCCTTTACAAAAATCCTTCTCATTACTTATTCTTACGTTTTTAAAAATATTTCAATACATCATTTTGTAGAGAAATATTTGCTCTATAACTGTGAATAGTTTAAATTTATCTATCATCACAATGAAAGACCAATTCAGACATCGTAAAACTACATTTTTTTTCCATCCAGATAAAGTTTTTGAGTCTATTTGTAGTGTACCAAAATTTTCAAATCCATATTTTGAAAGAGAATGAAATTCTGATTCTGGCATACTGCTTTTGAACAATAGTCCCGGTACGAATTTTGATATAAAAAAACATCAAGACTTTTTACACAGAAACTAGTTAAGTAGAACTCTTTGAGACAAAATTTCTTAAAAATTATTTTGTTTTTTAGTATGCCATAGCCTACGAGCTAAAATGTTATTTCTGTGGTGAACAATGTATTAGTTCCTATGTTCGCTGTCGTGTATGTTTTTCGGCATATCACTCGGAATGTTTATATCTTCGTGGTCATGTGAGTGATAGTCAATTTACTTTACCAAGATTATCCAGACATGAATGGATATGCACAGAATGTGTAAGTTCAAATTTCTAGTTCAATTTTTTCATTTATATCTTTTTTTTGTTTTGTTTTTCAAAGAGCGATTTGACACGATTACTTAACCATGATGAATTATCACATTTGATATCAACGTTTGAAGATATGGATCATGATAAAGGTATATGAACGATGTGATATCGATGATTCTACTACTATTTAACAATTTTCTTATTTATTTTTCAATTTTTTAGATGGATACATTACACTTGGTGAATTTTTATCACGAAAACGAGCGATGACTACAACGCCAACAGATAGTTTGGACGATTTTATTAGACAGAATATTGATCATGATAAACTACACTTTCGAATTATGGATAGAAGTAACACAGGTGTTTTAGCATGGTCCGATTTTGTACTATTTTATACAGCTAAACTATTAGCAAAGAAAAATAAAGTAAGATTATATCATTAGTTTGTCGAAATAGTAAAACTTTATTATTGACAGTGTTAGATATTTTTTTTTTTTGTAGAGTGAAATATCAGCAAAACTAAGTGAAAAAGAACTTGTATTCGCCAAAATGTTGTTTATGAAAGAAATGAGAATAACAAAAGACACTGCCACAATAACTAAAGAACAATTTATTCGAATCCATAATAATTTAAAACATGAACTCAAGTATTTTATTTTCTCTATCAAATATCTCTCTCTATATATTACAATATGATAATATAACATTTTGTTTTTCAGAAAGAAATATGGTTCAGCATTTTTAAAAAATATTATTAGCGAATGTGATGATGATTTGAGAATTAGTCGAATCGAAAAAACTGGGTATACAGTTTTCTAAAATAAAATTTTAATAATAATACAATGAATTTTTCTTCTTCTCATCATTTAAGAGCAAACGTAATAAGCTGGGAAGAATTTATTCGGAAAATTTCATTATTTATATTATTAAATCGTACAAATGATTATGTGAAAATTAGTTGTCCACAGCGTGCAATGTTACCAAACCATTTGCAACCAGTAGGAGTGGCAAAATCTCATATTATATCACATCTAACGTTTGCTGGTCGTACTACACCAGCTGATGATGACGAAGAGACGGATGTTCAAATAGAACAGAAAATTCATCAATTAACAGAACAACAGCGAGAAGCATTCAGTAAATATACAAAAATATTTTCAAAACGTAGTGAACAAGAAAAAATCAAAGAATGGTCAATTGTTGAAAATGATGATAGCGACCATCAAACATTTCTTCCAAAACTAAAATCTGATGCAAAAGATGGACGGCAGTCGATTGCTGAACCCTGGCTTGTGGTGAAAGATATGCAATTACTGAGGGTAGATCCTATTGATATTTCAACTATATATCGATCACAAACACTATCAAAACCATTGACCCTTACATATTTTTAGCTAACTAGTTTAGTTATTATTAATACAAGCAAATGTGTACGTCGCTCCATGACGTATCAAAATTGATTAGAAAACACAAAATCTTCTCATTCTTGAAACAGCTTAATAAAAAACGTGAAAAAAGAGTCAGTACCCGAGCTGCCAGATGGTCCGCATTTTGCGGACAAATTCTGCTTTCTGTGGTTTTTTTCCACAAAGTGTCCGCAATTTGTCCGCTTTTCGAGGAGCTTTTGTCCCTTTTCTTGCAACGAAGATTTTTACATTTTCTCATAAAAAATTCGCCACCTCCAGTGGCTGAATGACCTGTCAAAACAATGCTTTTGCAACTTTTATCAAACAGATGCGCACTGTTTTGAGAACTAAATCAGAAATTTGCTCTGGGAGTGAACGGTAATAGAAAAACATTGCCTTGTCTCAAGTGCTGCTGAAAGGGAGTGTGACAAATAGTGAAATACTAAATCTTCAAGGAAGCCAACTCGGTCAGAAAATCTTAACCATTAAGTGCTGTCGTAGACGAGAAAGTTTCAAATTAAACTTTATCCTGCGATACATAACTCTTGAAATTTATGATGGCGGATCAAAAACGAGCATCCGCAAAAAGCCAATATCGATTCAAATTGGGATTTAAATGATGTTTTGTACTTCTTTTGTGTTTCTTAAGTGGAACCACTATGAAGCGCTAGAAAATGTTTTTGATACCCTTTGCATTTGGTGACAAATGAACTAATACGATGAAAAATGCGTTTCCGCTTTTTTCCGTATTTTGGAAAAAATTTCCGCTTTTTCGACTTTTAATTCCGTTTTTCTGACCTAAGCATCTTGCAACTCTGGTCAGTACGCAAAACATCAGTCTTGTATTAGTTGAATCATTACTTACATAACTGAATTATTTTTGCTCGGTAAGATTCTGAGAAAAACATATTGTTCTACATCTCCTTCTTAGTTCAGTATGCTTCAGTGGCGGATCCAACCCGCGAGCGGTACGAGCGACCGCTCGTACCTTTTAATCAAAAAAACTCTTTTTTCCCAGCAAATCTCTCTTAGAATAATTTGTTTTTATGACGACCGCACGTATCTCGCACTTTTATCGTATACCGCACGTACCAAAAAACAATGCTGGATCCGCCACTGGTATGCTTTGGCTACAGCCGCCGAGCGTTCAGTACGACGAATAGACTGTCAACGAGATTTTAAAGATTATAACTGATTCATCTTCTTTTCTCTTAAAATTTCCCAAAAACGTTTTGTAAATTATAAGTCTTTCGCCACTATTAAGAGAATAACATCAAAATTTCTCTTCTTTGAACAAATCTAGTATAGTATAAGCTATAAATTACCTGGAATGTGTTCAAATTTCATCTAGTTTATTTGAATGCAATTTAAGAAGAGAATTTCTGTCTTTTTTCTGTTCTCTAATACAATTTTAAAACGAAACACGTGGACTATTTAGAAAAACATATTATTTGTTGTTCCTTTCTGAGAAATCAAGGTATAAAAACTATCAATATTCGTCTACTGTCATACATGGACATTGCCCCTTGATATGGTCTTTCTCTTTCTCTCTCTCGCTTTTTGTAGTTTGATGTGACAAAGAATAAAGATGAAGAGTATAAATAGATAACTTCAAAATTTGTTAAACTGGCATAAACTTCTCTATAAGACTGTACAACGACTACAACGTACAATATTTCTCAATTTTTTCCACACAACAAATTTTTAGTATTTTTTAATTTTTAATTTTATAATAATGGCACCTAAATGGATTGATTATATTTTTCCGTCTAAAGTTTCTGCTCAACCGTCATATGAATTTTCAAAGATGTCTGATAAATTTCATGGTGCTTCTTCAAATACGTATTCATATTCGTTAATTAAGCTGCAAACTTATTCGACATCATTGTATCGAAACTCTCCGCCATCAATACATCAAAATTTAAATTTGTATAATCTTCAAAATCCATATGCATCTCGACCACGAAATAATAAACTGATGGATGAATTAATACGTGAATGCAGAAATTTTCAATATAATAATAGACAATTTAAACGTAGTGAAATTATTTCAAACTTTGCTAAACGTTTATTTTGTGATCAATGTTTTCGGGAAGCATATGATATGGATCCATTAAAAATCAAAAATTTATATACACGAGAAGATCCACCATTTTACAGAGAATTAAACAAATGTTTATGTCAAGGTGTTGATAGTAATCTGGTGGGAGCGTGTACTCAAAATTTATCCTCAGTTATTTATCAGTCAAATCATAATGGTAAGTACATTGTTTGTTGAACACATATTCTGGAGTTGAGAATCATCACAGAAAAGTTAGTGGCATGATAGCATGTTGTTTCTTTTATAATTAGTTGCGATCAATTTTTAAGTTTACTAGTTATGTTTCCTTCTTCTTGTACTTAAAGCGTACCCCATGCTATTTTAAAACAATGTCGGATTTTGGACTGAGCAGAGCCTAATGTAGAAGAAAGTGTGGGCTACAAAATGAGATCACTTTCAGAATTCTATGACCTTCAAAAAGTTATACATTTTTGAAATTTTTCATTCAAAGTCTAAAAAAACTTTTTTCTCCTTTTCTGTATATTCAAAATTTTTTCTTACACATAGTCTGATAGAAGAAATGTATTTTCTTCACAATGAGACATTTTCCAGAATTCCCCGATCAGTTTTTGTGGAGATATAAGCATATCGACCAATGTTTCGAAAAAAGTGACCTGTATACAAAATATGTTTTTCTTGAAAACTATTTTTTTTTGATACCAGGCTTCATTGTATCACATTACGATCCCCCTCAAATTTCATCCGATCGAGTTAAAAATTTTACCAAACGTACTCAAGACACTATTGCAGAGGTAGTTTTTTTGAATTTTATTTTAGGTTCTTCTTTACCGAGTTATACGGTTTCTAAAATTGAAAAACTTTGGTTTTCGAGACGTTTTCCCGATATTTTTCCTATAATTCGATCAGGAAAGATCTTAAAACATACTCCCTCTGCGATAGTGTCTTGAGTACTTCTTTTTAACTCGATCAGATGAAATTTTAGGAGGGCCGTAATGTGACACAGTGAAAAACCGAGTTTTCCAGAAAAATCCTGAACTCTAATAATTAAAAACTGAAAGCCCAAAAAGAGAGGAAGGGTACACTGTAAAAAGTAAAGTGTGCCCAAAACACACTTAACTTGCACATCATTTTGATTCGCATTTGCACATCGAGAATGCACGATGTGATGTGCCAGAAACACATTGGCAAAATTTACACACCTGCGAATATAGAGAGACTTTTACACACCTAGAAAAAAACATACCAGTTTGATTCGCATTTGCACACTTAGAACTTTTACACATCTACGGGCACACTTTATTTTTTACAGTGTACGCTTAAGAAGACGATGCGTCTTTTTGTATGTGCTTGATATGATACTGTAAACCGCATTAAAGCAATATGATTTTCTTTTTACCGTCAGTTTTATTTTTTCAGACCATCAACAGTCTGTAGATCTAATCGTTTACATTTTTCGCTTTGATTGATACAAATTGAGAATAAATGAGCCAGAAACCAAACACTGAAGGTAGAAATATAACAAATCTTTTGCCTCTGTATTAAAAGTTGATTCTTAGCTTGTGTATGGAAAGGAGTGGACTTTTGTTTTTTTATGCTAGCAGGTCATACTCTGTTAGTATAACATAGAAGTCGTATGTTCACCAAGAATATGTTATTCAACTTGAATAATTCTAAGCTCTATCAGGTGTCCTGAATTCGGATTTTGTTAAAGATTGTCAAAACTGAGTATATTTTTGATCTGTAAGACTATTATACGATTTCGTTGATACCGTTTTTTTAGATTTGCCTAATGTTGTATTTCGTGGTGCAAATTTTTGTCGAGATGAGATTGCTCGGCTTGAACACGCACAACGGACAGATACTCTAATTTATTTCAATGGTTTTACATCAACATCTCGTAGTCAAAGAGAGGCGGACAAGTTTGGTACATGGCTATTATGTATTCGAATACCATATGGTTTCCAATGTGCAGCCGATATTTCCGAATATTCTCAATTTCAAAATGAGCAAGAAATATTAATAGCCGCAAATAGTGGTTTTCAAATTAATTATATTGATCGTGATGAAAAAGTAATTGATATTACATTAGCTGATGATTCTCAATGTTTAAAACCAAGACCGTCACATATATGTCGAAAACATAGATATGAAAAATTTGAACAACTGTATATGAGAAAATAATATTTAACATGTTTTTGTTTTGTCATTTAGTATGTATTTTGTCTAATATTTTTAGTTTTAATTTATCTAGTCATATGTACATAATTAAGTCAAAAGATTTTACCTTGTTGTACAAACACTTAGTCAACAACTTGTTTTTGTATTTTCTTATATTTGTTTAATTTTTTTATTTAAGCACTTCTTCTTTTTCTATCTGTTAATCCTGGCAATATGTCAGTTTTATATATTTATTTATCTATTTTTATACTGCTAGTGTGCATACTAACAACATTTATCGACATAATTTTTCAAATTATATTCTAATCGTTAATTTTGTTTTTTATTTTATTTATAGAGAAGTCAAAAAGACGGTCATTTTTTAAAAAATATATATATATTGAACAAGTAAATTAAACAGCCTTGCATTCGATCATCAGAAAAGCTAAGTAATGACAGTTGTCTGTTTGCTAACAGTTCATTTGGATCTGTCAATAGCTACGAAAAATGTCTAATATCAGTAATTCACTCGCACATTCTGAAGAAGAGAAAGAAAATTTCTGATAAAAAAGCTCGGAAGGCGAAAATCAACCGTAATGTAAAAGACGATGAAATATAGATATCAGACTTGTGTAGTTTTATAGAGAATCCTTTATCCTATTCAAACATGTTACTAGATGTCGTTCTCAAGATATTCAAAAAAAAACAAAAAAAACGATGGCAGTCCATTATTCAATGGATATTAATAAACTAGGTTAGATGGAAATCCAGTACGATAGTAATAGTAAAAATGACATGATGAACACAATGAAAAACTGTTCATAAAATAAATGCAGGAATAAAAGATGTCACCGATGAATTAGCAAACTTTCCGATTTCATTCAACCATTCATCAATGATAATGTGAAAATTATTTGTGAAAAACTCGTAAATTATATGATTACATCGAAAGTAAATTGAATAATATTTAATCAAGTATACAAGAAATGAATAAAAAATTGGGGAAGATCAATTCAAATAAGATGTAAAACGGCAGCAATTCTACAAAAAGATTTTAAGAAAAGAATCTAAAAATATTGAACGTTGTGACTGCTAATTTAATACTATAGTTGCTCAGCAGTAATAGTTAGTGGTACAATGGTGATTTGCCACTATTAGATGATCGTATAATGGTGAACAAAGCCACTATTAGAAAGTTTAATGCCCAGTATAACAGCGGAAGTCGTGAAATATACAACTTTGTTTGCATTAATATCAATATATCTAATAAAATATTTGTACAAGAAGCTTTGAATAATTCTGCTCTCTTCTTTACGGGTTGGACTGGAAAGCAGTGATGATCAATAGCAGAAAGTGGTCAACAAAGACAGTTATAAAATAAATAAAAAGGAGGACTTTTTTGCAGATATAGCAACAGGTTTACGAAGCATTGTTTTGTGAATGTAACTGCTGGTCAGTCTCAATGTTTGTTAGTTAATAAGATTATCATACTGTCTACTCTCTCTTTGTTTCTGACTGTTGCACAAGCAACTCATTTTCTTACAAAAAGTAAAATAAAATTAAAAAAAAAAGTAACCATTAACAATAGATCACTGCCCATAAAAAGAAAAATGAACAACTTATTGTACAGCTGATTTTCCCAACGTCGATAAGAAGCTTTTTCGATTTTCTGTAGTGGATGATTTTCGTTGTCTCCGTGTCCATCCGATCATCATTCCACCGACAATTAACGATGAATTACTTTTCTTTTTATCTGCTGTTGTCGATTCAGTTGGAGTTGAAATAAATGGATTTATATTTGGTGTCAAATGTTTGTCTTTTTGTTGTTGTGGCTGTTCTACTAGAAGTAATGATGTTGACTCATTTGGATTACACGTTGAACATATTTGTGAATTGTCGTTTGGTGGTGTCCGAGTTGAACATGTACAACGACTGAAATTATCTGATGCACAACTATTACTCGTTGATTGCTCATTTGTTTCTAAAGGCAGTGGTGGTGATGAATGAATATCGACTGATGGTTGCTGAGGTTGTTTAATAATGCGAGAAAACGCTGTATAAGGAATACAGGAAATAGGACGAGTCATATCCGTATGTTGATTTGCTGATTTAGCATTATGTTGTTGATAATGACAAATATGATAATGCTTTACGAGAGTATTTGAACAACAGTTATTATAATCACATGAAACATTATTATTATTAGTAGTCGGAGGTTTTCGACTCATGGTAGCAAATAGATAATGTTCGGGGATACATTCGTATTGGTGATGATCAATGGATGTGCGAGATCGACAACGATGAATCGTATTAGATGGTATAGAATAACTTTGATGAAAGATATTTGATGTGGATGTTGAAGGAGGTGGTGATTGACTAGAACACATGGGATGAACAATTTGATGATATTCTTCATAACATCCTGATGCACACTAGAACGAAACAAAAAAATATTTATATTCTTTAATAATTTAAATTTTTAATTTAAATCATACACAACATCTCACTTTGTTTGATTATAAACTAGCTTTTTATATAAATTTTAGATTAGTTTCGCAGGACTGTTGTCGATTAAAAAGTGAAAGTATACGAGTTCAATTGTGAATAAATATATTTGTACTCCAATATGTTTTATAACACAAGTTTGATCAGATGAATAATAATATATAGTTTTGCAAGTTCGTAATATACCCCTGTATTAAATTCTATAATATGAAGGTGTTCCATTCAAAAGACTGCAAAAACATGTTTGTGGAAGTGGTTCGATTGTTTTTCTACTATTCACTTCGAAAAAGAAACAAAAGACCAGCACACTAAAAAATTGAGTGCTCTCACATTTTAGATACATTCTGATGGAAGAACATTATTGCAGAAATATCAGAATATAATATAGCGGAACATCGATTTTGCCTCAGTATAATACGGTAGTAGGAAGTTGACGGTAAAGCTTGCCACTCTTTCTAGGATAATTCATTCTTGCTGTTCATTCTCTCATCTTTTCAAGCTTTTCATCATTAGATTGTTTGAAAGTGTAGAAAAATTTTGTGATCTTGTAATGGAAGAAGAATTTTTGACTATGATCAACGTCTAAATGATTGCATTATTGAAATTTGGTTTATAATTAAGTTGAAAAACTTGAAGAATTAGACTGGATAAATAAAGGAAAGTTGACGGAATACAAAAGACGGATGAAGAAGTTTGGGAAGATGATAGGAGGCTGAATACAGTTGTATATGAAAAATCTTATTAAGTAACTTGAGGAGATTAAAAACATATATATATGTTAAGAAAAAATTTTTTCTGAAGGTCAATAGCAAAATGGATGTTATAGTATAGTTCTATATTCTGACATTTCTCCCTTATTGAAACTTCTTGTGTAAAAAATTTGGTAGGTTTTATAGCCCATTTAATTTTGTATTATACTATGTATATCTCAAATTTGTCGTTTTTTTCTGTTAACACGTAATTTGATGTTGATGTGATCACTATAGATATGTACATTATCTGGTGTGTTTATGGCATGGCCTTAAATAAAAAGTATTTTTCAACTCATTTTCATTTTCTGTGTATGCGTCCTTCATATTCTATGCAAACTAATATCCGTTTGTCTCTTGACTTAATGTATGATATACACACGAGACAAAAATCATCTTTTTTTAATCTTTATAAGTTATATGAATCAAACACTGTCATTTCCCATTCGTTTTCTTTTTTTTTACCTTGATAGTATGATCTTCATTGCTAGTTGTTGCACTTTTCCGTGAAATTAATGAGCCCATAACATAACTTTTATACTGCTTTTCTTCTTTTTTTAATTTCCTGTTTGAAAAACATAACAAACTACGCATTATAGAGAATTCTAGATCCCTTTGTGGCATAAATATACTTACCGAAGACAAATGAAGATAAATGTAGCAATAATTATACAACATATAATGCTAATCAAGGCTAATATTAATAAAAATACATTGATCCAATTCGTTTTTTCAGAGGGCAAAGTTTGATGTGATGAAGGATAAATTCGACCGTTAACACTATTTCCATTTATATTTTGTACAATTAATGGTCGATGAAGACATTGACCATTGAATATTTCAATTTGAAATTGTTCAAATGTTGGCGGTTTGGGTGGTGGCCGAAGGGAAAATAATGGTGGTGGACCAATACAATAGGAATTTGAGCATCGATCACTCATCATCTTTGATATGACGATACATTTTTGTGTGTATATTTCTAAAATAGACGACCACATTTAAGCAAAATATTATCAGCAGTCAGTCACTTGAACACATCAATGTGAGGAAAGTATAGTCGTCAAAACAGTTTGTTCTTACAACATAGAATTAAACCAAATTATCTATCTGTTCTTATTTGAACTGTCTTCAAAGGAAAATGTTAAAATTTAGATGAAAATCTAACTCTCATACAGTAACAGATTGGTCTCAGATATATATCCGGAAAATTCAAACAAATAGAAAGATATTAAAAAATATCACAAAAAAGTTTCGGTTCACTAGACCGATACACTTACACTTTTTGTACTCATTTCTTCAGATAAATAAATAGAAAATTAATATTAAATATGCCTTTTTCGAGTTTGATTATTATTTCTCAACAAGATTTATTTAAAACTAGACATCCAATTTTAGATGTTGATTCTAGAATGATCCATTGATGCTAACCAGATAGAAGATCTTTATATGGTTAATATACACTTTTATAGATCTAATAAAGCAAAAAAAGAGAAAAATTTACTTGAAAGATGATGTCCCATAGGATGGACACATACACTTCTCCCTCTCTGTGTCTTAATCTTGATTATTCAATCATTTGAAGATTATAAAACAGAAATAATCAAATTAGTTTACAAAATTCAGGTGAAATGAGAACGATTTGATGTAAAGAAGAAAAAAAGTTGATATAAACAGAAAAAGAAAAAAAACAATCAGAAGAGAAAGAGAGATAGTAATGTATGAGCGATTTTTTTCGTTAAATGACCTACAAGATGTCAATCATTATTTCGTCTAATAATATCTCTCTCGCTCTATACTCGTCATTATCGAAGCATAGATATTATATAAAAATTCCTATTTTATCATCTAGAGGAGAAGAAGAAGAAGAAAAAAAAGATTTTTTCCTCTCCTTTCATAAAAAACCTTGCGTGTTTCTCCATGTGTTCATCGAATTGTAAGATTAAGGATTTAATACAGGTACTATCATCACCAGTCATAGAGCAAAGAACAGAGGAAAAGAAGAGAAGAAGGATATTCGTGCTTGAACGAACATATTCGTATAACAAGTGTTGAAAGATACAGATATTTTCTAAATTGATTTTTATTTCAAAAAGTAAGAAAAATGTGTGACATGAAGAAATTTTTTCGTTATGTAAAATTGATGTTTTGACTGATTGATTGATCGTTTTTATTTTTCGTGTTTCACAGTGCAAAAAGTATTCAACATACACAATTGAAAAAATAGTATTTAATGAGTTTTAAAATTCTTCTCTTTTGTCTCTCTCTCTCTTACTTCCTATTAATAGAGAAGTATCTATCTATCCCAATTATTGTCAAGGTTTAACCATAGTATACACTGTCTCTATCATTTATCATAATTAGAAATATATTCATCTCATTATCATACCGTTTTTTTTTTGTTCTTTTTGAGTTTTTTTTCAACAAACTATTTGGCAACTGCTTATTAGCTGAACTGTATTGTTCTAGACAATTGGACAAATCGTCTAAATAGAAAGAAATATATTTTCATCTTTTGAATTATAAAATGGAATGTTAGTCACACAATCAACTGTTCGACACGTTTCCCTAACATACTTAAACGAGATATAATTCTACTAAATCGCTACAATTCACATCGAGAACTTCTCATGCTTCTTGAAACAAACTTAGTAACGTTCTTTTAATTAAGATCTACAGATCCTTTACCTTAGCACCTATGACCATCTCTAGTGTCGTTCTGTTTTCAATTTAAATAAGATAATAATTGTAAATTGTATTGTAGTCTTAATGCCTCTATTTACGTGATAGATAAAATATATACTGTAATTTAAAGCTTCTTCTAAAACTACCTTTTTTCTTTTTACAATACAATCGTATGCGAGGAATTGTAGGAGAGATAAGAAAAATATGTTTCTGTTTCATTATTAAGTGTACGTAAAGGTGTTAGCCAAACTGCTGTCAATAAAAATCTTCAAAATTTTATGTCGCCGCCAAACTGAGATCTCTATGTATATATCTCTCTCTCTATCTCAAGTAACATCGAAAGAAAGTATAACTATCTCTCTTCACATATTTTGATGATGAACGAATAAATATGTAGATACTATGTCAATAAAACTTGTTTTTCAATTTTATGAATATATTGCAGATATTGTAGATCTACTCGTTTATTCATTGATTTTTCATCATGATAAGGGGCAGATTTCAAAGTACAATTACCGTCACATCATCATTATTATTACCAAAAAAATAAAAATAATCCTTTCTGACGAAGTGAGTGTATATGTGTGTGACAAATAATCTTCAATGTTAAAAGCAAACACAAACACACTCTTTCGTACACTTTCTCCTTAATCCTTCATTCCATATTGTTAGTTGATTATTTGTACGTATACATCTTTTATTAAATTTTCTTTCTTCTTCTCCTTTTTCTTTCGATAAAGAGACGCACAAAGATATATTAATAATATAGGATTTTTTTGTATAAGATTCTATTAAAATGATAATGATGATGATATAATGATGTAACAGAAGATGAAGACACTTTATTTCATCAAGAAAAACCAATATGATCATGAACAGTGAGGATAGTTCATATAAAATTGCTAAAAGACACGATAATTACTATTGATGTCATTTCTCTTCTCATAATCATTGTGTAAAGTATTAAAAACTCTGTTTGATCTATGTGCTTTTTTTTCATAAACGTTTCTTCAAGTAATTTATATATCTCATTTGTTAAATAATGGACCTTAATGTTTTAACACGTCTTACATATTGTATACACTAGAGTAGATTACACATAGAATACAAAAAAATGAAGTGGGTAATTTGAATATCAGAAATTTATTAATAAATCAGTTTTTGTATCGCTTTTAATCTAGCTTGAAAACCTGATTATTCAAATGCATATTCTAATAACATTAAAAGTTGCTTCAAAACTTGTTCAATTTATTGTTTTGTGTGTGTGTATAACACAATACAACAATGACAAAACTTTTGAGAAACTTGACAAATTTTTAAGAAATATCGACAGTATCTCCAATAAGCCTTCTTTACTTATAGTTTTAGTATTAACAAGAAAATTCAACTACAGATTTATGGTGATGATGTAATCAATCGACTGATTTTATTGAAAAAGAAAAAAGAAAATAAATAAACCACTCTTTGATCGATTTTCTCCTTTCCTTTCGTTTTATTGGCATATCTACATGCAACAAATAATTTATCATCATCATCACCATCGAAATGACATAATTTTATGTAAAACATCTACTGGTAATTTAAATCGTTTAGATTTTAATCATCCATTTTATGACACGTCTATTTACGCTTTTTCGATTTTTTTTTTTTCTGTTGAGTTAAATCGTCTGTGAACAATAAAAAATGTTTTTTTCTCTTCTTTGACAGTTTAGAAGGTGTGTACTCATTCACTCACATCATGTATTTAACAAAAAAACTCATTGCCTCAAACTCATCAGAATGAGTATATATAGTGTATAACACTTGTATAACTTCATCATAATAAGTTGAGTAAACGATACAAATTAACTTACATATTTGATGGTCAAATTCAAAACAGTTTTCATATTTTTTAATTACATAAAGAATAAAAAAAGCGGGAATTTGGTATTAACAGACAATTACAGTGTGATCTTTAAATAACGATAAAATTTGCAAAAACACAACTGGTGGACAGGTGTTTCATAAAAGATATGTTTTTTAAAAATAGAATCCAGAAAATATGGTGCACGTACTCAAAAAGAAAAAGACGAAGAAGTGTATAAAATGAAACAAAAAAATACTCCATACTATGACTTAACTCTGTCTCTATTGTTGTTCAACTAGTATCAGATAAAAAATGACAAATTGTCGTACATTGTTCAAGTATTCTTCTTATCCTTATTGTAAATGTATACACAAACGATTTATTACATTAAAAAGTTGAAGAATAAGGCACATGTTTCCAATATTTTAATCCATAATATTAGATAATAACAAACCTGATCGATCGTCGTTGTCGTCACAATTTAAAATAGTTTAAAGAAGAAAGGAAAAAAATCCATTTTACAGACATCCGTCTAGAAATAGAAATCTGTAGGCTAGAAAAATTAAACAAATATTTAACTTTGATTAACGGAAGAAGTGGAAATGAACAAAGTGTTGATTACAATGATTGACATCTTTTATTATTATCAAATAACTCTGAAGTTTTTAAAACTATGTTTAATGAGTTAGAAATACAATAAAATTCGATTATCTTCTATTCTTCTCGATTTTGAGATACTTTTAGACAAGAATCTTTTCTTCGGCTTGACTTTAACATTTGTTCTCTTCAATAAGTTTCTGCAGAAAAGTATTCTGTTATATTCGTCATAGATAGAAGTTAATTAAAATCATCTCTTATACTAATTCAGATTATAGTAGAAATACTCAATGTAGGAAAAATTTGGATCACTGGTGTCTGGATTAGTCCTAAATTCTGAACCCTTTTAAAACAACGTTGATTTGGCACAGAAGCAAGATCAAAGGAGTCTATATATTTGTATAACATGTGCAAGAAATCTGTCAAGACTGCCGGATATATAATAATCAATATGGACAGCGTACTGATTGACCTCTACATAAGCATGTTGACAATCTCTTGCTACTAGGCCATTGGACTATTAGGCCAATGTAGTTAGGCGCATGGTTCTAACTATAGTTAAAATGCTTATATTTTCTACTGAAACCACTATCGTAGACCATAGTTATAAGCTTGATTGTACGCCCTGAGTACGGATAAAAATGTAAACTGAACAATATGTGACGTCTAGTTCTGTTATTTGGAAACTTTTCTTTAAACTTAATTAACTAAGTTCAAATTTAATATTTTTTTACTTGTAGGCTTATTAATATTGTAGCTTATCTTCACCTAACGGTTATTTCTTTGTTTTTTTGCAAGAAGATTTGCCTGATTTCAATT